TGGTCTGATGAGAAGCTCAGTCAATGGTTTGACCCGCCCACCTGTAAGACTATTAAAGCTATTCCTCTCACGCATTGGGACGTGCCTGATAAGCTTATCTGGCATTCTACGGCCGACGGGGTCTTCTCGGTTAAGCCGGCCTATCATTTGGCTGTCGATTTGGACAGAAGGAGGGGTGGGTGGCGATCTTCGGTTAGCTGGATGGATAAGCCGAGTTGGATTAGAGTTTGGGAGGCGAAGATCCCTCCAAAGTTGAAGGTTTTTGTTTGGCAAATTCTTAATCGGGCTCTGCCGACTACGGAGGCGCTTATTGAGAAAAAGGTCCAGGTGCTACCTCGGTGTCCAGTTTGTTGGGATGGTCCGGAGACAATGGAACACCTGTTCATTTATTGTCCGGTTGCGGGCCCTCTGGAATTATTCTGGGCTGGAATACTTGGGGGAGGGTTTGCCTAGGCATACTTTTCCTTTGTTTCTCAAACGTCTGTTGGGATTGATCCATCAACCGTCAGTGATTATGGCTTTTGTTGCCATCCTTTGGAGGATCTGGCGATCTCGGAATTGGGTAGTCTTTGAAGGCAAACAATTTGGGATCCCGGCGCTCATGCGACAGTTTAACCAACAGTATGAGGAATGGGTGGGTCTACCCACGGACCAAGCGCCTAGGGCCCAAATCCCGATAATGCAATCTACAGCACAAGTGAGTGATTCCCATTTGGTTTGCATGTGGGACGGAGCTACTAAGGGTGGGTCACATTCGGCTGGTGGGATGGTTCTTTTTGACCCAATGAGGACCCTCCTTCTGGCTAGAGGGGTCCAGTTTTCTCAAATGGATGATCCTGTAGTGGTGGAATTGTTTGTGCTTAGGGAAGCTATTATTTGGTGTATGGAGCAAGATTTGTCGGAGATCCGATTTGAGGGCGATGCAAAGGTGATTATTGAAAAAATTACTCAAGCCGACACAAGAGATAGCCGGTTGGGTTCTGCTCTGGAAGAGATTGCTCATTATTTTCGCACTCAACCTGGTTTTAGTGTGCGTTTTGTAGGTCGGGAGAACAATAGGGTAGCTCATTTGGTAGCTAGGAAAGCCCTCTCTTTGTATCCGACTATGAGTCGCTTCTTTGATTTCCAGACCTGGCTGGTTTCCAAGGTGTAACTGTCTATTTTTTCGATCAATACATGATATCTTTTGACAAAAAAAAAGTATTCGTAGTAAACTATAAACACTGAATTTTTTACCCATAGGCCCCTTAAATTACACGTAAAAACCTGAATTATTTTTGTTTCGATTCAATTATTTTATTAACCGTCTTATGACAATCAAAACTGGGATATGATTGACATGATTCACACATTCATTGTAACTAAGTGGATCGTTCAGATGGGGGATTGTGGTGCAGGATTTTGCCACAATCTCTCAAATTCCTTTTTTTCCTTCATAATTTCGTGTTTGGAATAAATTCAAAAGATATGGATTTCGACCATAAGGTATTTCTAAAACCTAAAAGCATAGGATTTTGACTGGCACGAAACTACACCACAAATTAATCCCGACTAGAGTCCAAGTTTTTAAACTCTAGCCGGGTGCAGTGTAGAGCAAGTATTTAAATTGTTAACCTGGACCGATTCATGTACCCCTACTTCAATCGCTTAGCTTGTTATCTAGCAAGCAACTGTTGGGTTTATAACTAATGGAACTACAAACTAAACTAGCAAAGAAAGGAAAATAAAGGAAAATTCTAACTAAGAGAGCTTCACCCAAGAGTTGCTCCCCCCTAGCTAGCTATCGTGAATCGTTGGATTGAATGGGGTCGTGTGGCATAGGTGGTTGTGAACCGCGGGTGGTGAGCAACTAGTGATCAATCTGTCACGGCATCAATTCACTAGCGATCAATTTGTCACGGGATCCACTCACCAAGTCTAGGGGAACCACTAGGAGGAGCAACTAGCGATCCATTTGTCACGGGATGGATTCACTGGAGGTCGATTTGTCACGGGATCGATCCTCTCGCTCGGTCACTAGTGGTTGCCTAGGTCTCTCCCTCAAACCGAAATTTGAGCGGCTTAATCACAACCAACCTAGATGCAAACTGGTAACCGCGAACCGCAAAGGAAAGCGTATGTGGTCGGAGACCACAGTCTCAATTGCTAAACCGAGGTAAGCATGAAAGGCCGTTTCACTCGACCCTATCGGTTTAGACAATCGGTAATGGACTTACTCCCTCACTCAGCTCTAAGGTCGGACGGCTTAATCGTAATTAACCAATTTGCTTAACTCAAGACTGAGGGTTGCCCTAACTTAACCTAGTTTAGGTGGCTCAGAAAGCGGAAGAAAAACCAACTAGATTGAGTCTCCCTCGGAAGGGGGATTTTTCTCTCTAAGCTAGGCTAAGGTGACTAATTAGATTGCTAGCACCTACATGCACAAACCTAAGGGTGCTAAGCACAATTATGCACAACCCATAGGTTGCTAAACACGAGCATGCACAATCACCATGATAGCACTTCTAATACTCAAATTGATGCAAACCCACACTTAATCATTCAATCTAAACTAGTAATTACAAAGTATTAGTTAGGGATCTACAACATCCAAGAGAAAAGAGTGAGTTTCTAGAGAGAGAGAGAGAGGGATGACAACTTTGAACTCAAGATCTTCTTCTTCTTCTTCTAGGCTTGAATCTTCCACTCAAACCTCCAATGATTCTCCAAGATCACTCTAGCACTCTCTCACACACACTAGAACTCCCCTTTGGTGTTTAGGTTGAAACCCTAGAGAAAGAAAGTGTTTCTTCTCCAAAAACAAGCTCTCCTTTCTCTCTCCCTGCTGTTGTCTTCATATTTTCCTAAAAGCGATCAGTTCACGGACGCGTTGGCTAGTTCACGACCGTGAACTCCTAAACGCGTCCGTGAACTCAACGTCGTCCAAAACGCGCCGCTTCACTCGCCTGGGTTCACGGTCAATGGCCCCAGTTCACGATCTTAGAGACCGTGAACTGCCTTGTCGTCAGTAACTTCACGAACCTTGCTAGATTGCTCGGTGTTCACGGTTCGTGGTCCATGTTCACGGTCTTAGGAGACCGTAAACTGCCTTGTCCGACCGTGAACTGCGACTGTTTCCTGGGACGCCTTCACTTCACTACTGCGAGGCAATTGTCATAGTCTTCGGACTTTTCTTCGGTTTTTTGCGCTTTTGACCTCCAAATATCTCAAAACTCGTCCTCGACCCTTCCACACGTACTAGGACCCGAAACGTATCAAAACAAGCACAACCTAGCGTGAAATATGTCGAGGAACGATGAAATACTAAGCTAAACGAATAAAAAATGAGGGGTAAAATGTGTGCATTTGAGCCCGAATCAGATTTCAAAATATTTTATTCCCTTCAGTTATTTCGAAATCTCTCACTAATTTCTTTTTTCTTCCAAACATTACCCTCCTAGCTATCATCGATGCGAAATCATCAACATCACCAACACCAGCATCCGACCAATGGTGAATCTGTGTTTGTGAAGAGAGAACCTAGGAATTCAGTGCCAGATCTCTCGTCTCTTGTCGGTGTCTGTCTTCCCTTGAATCGAGAGCCCCCATCGTGTCTGTACTTTTGCATCCATGATTCAGAAGCGGCCGTTGTCGAAGTGAACTCTGATAGGAAAACACAAACTCAGATCGTTGAGATGAACTAGGGACTAGGGATGACAACAAAACCCGAACCCACGGGTATCCACCCGACCCAACCCGGTCAACGCGGGTAAAACCCGTGTTGACGGGTTTTGGGCCGGGTTTGAGTTTAATCCCGCTACACTATTCACCGGGTCGGGTTGGGTTTGGGTTTAGGTAAACCCGCCCCATGGGTACCCGCCCACACACATATAATTACTTTCCCGGTATATTTAATATTCTAAATAATATATCTTCCTTAAACAACTAATATTCTTTATGTTTGTGGAGACATGTATAATTTGTTCTTTCTAATTGTTTAGAATGAAGTTGATATTATGAAGTGGAGAGTGAAGAAACTTAGTTGACGAGGAAGAAGCTTTCAATTAATCTTATTATTTATAGATGTTTATCTTTAATTTTGAACAATTTGTATTGATCATTTGCGGTTTGCTTGTATGCACTAGATTTGTGTTTTTTGTATGAATAATTTGTATGAGAAAATTGATGTTAAACTTTTATTTTGAAAGAAACTTGTTATTGTAAATTTTTTACCACAAAAACCCACGGGTACCCATGAACCCGCGGATACCCAGCGGGTTGGGTTGGGTTTGAGTTTTTCAAACCCAGCGGGTTTTACCCCGGATTTTTTTAGCGGATAAACCCATGGATTTGGGTTTGAGTTTGACAAAACCCGCCCCAACCCGCCCCATTGCCATCCCTACTAGGGACTAGGAATTGCAATAAAAAGGAAAAAGGCAAAATTGTATTTTGAAAATTCTAATGGAAACCCCACATCTATAAATATATAGGAACTTGGCCCAAATCCCTTATTTAAATCATCCCATTTTTAACTCAAAATTTTGAGTCAAAATTTGTTTAGAACTTCCTCATAACTAAATCTTCATCCAAACGACCCACTAGTATGTATGCATCCAATAAATTGAGCTTATTGAGGGGGAAATCTTATATTTTAATTAGGGATCACATGCATAATTGATTTGATGTAATCTCTAACAAAATCGATCATTATGTGTTTGGAATAACAAAAATCTCTTGAAAATCGACCGACCAGTACACTCAACCAATTGATAAAAAGTCTCTATTACCTAGTAAACTCAAATACAGTGACTTAAAGTTTTAACACACATGCCTAAATTACAGATGAAACAAATATCAACAAAGAAATAAATAAATTCGTGCCTGACCGCAAGACATCTTTTCCCAGTGATTAAATAAATACGTGCAGGAAAGGAGCTCCAAGAATTGCCACACAAAAATGGACATTTCCAGAAAAATAAAAAATATATAGTTTTTTTCTTATAAACGGTTAGTCCATTTCGTTGGACGAGCCAGTTCTTCCCTCTTTCATTACCCATTTCCCCGTTATTCCTCCCCCTCTCTGTAGCTTCATCTGCAGAGAGAGCGAGGAGAGATCTTCCGTTTCCATTGGAGGAAGGAGACAACAAAAATGGCGGAGTGCGGAGGAGGAATTGCGCACAGGCTAGCCAGCAGGAGGTGCTGCGTTTTCAAGGAGCTGAGTTTCATCGACAGGCGAAGGACCCGGAACAATTTCCGAAACGTTTCGATGATTCCTCCTTTCAAGAAGCACCTCTTCGGCACGCGCTGGCGATCGCTGGGCGTCAGCTACCGCATTCTGAGGTCAGCTCTCCGTCTCGCACTTCTCGCTCGCTTCGTGTTAGGTTCCCTGGAAAATAACCAAGTAGAAGAAGTTGCTCTATCCTTCCTGATAATTTTCCTTCAGCTATGAACAAATTTTTTAGCATTTCACTGATAGGGCATTGCTTTCAATTTACCCCTCCTGGAAAACACATTCCTTGGTAGGGTAGACAAATTTCCATGACTGGAGTTGTAGTTTGTGAGAATGAAATTGCTTGCGGTCAAGTTAATCAATTCGTTGGTTATGATCGTTAACCTATCAGTGCTTGAGCCGCTTGTCTGCTGAGCTCAAGCATTCAATTTCATGCACCTCAGAAGGAGAGGTGGATTAGGTCAACAATCATGTGTTAGAATAATCCTTTGAAACCAAGCCTAGTCTTCACACTCAGTTGTAATCTTTAATTCAGCTATGGTTCCACAGCTGTTGAAATGTCAATTCAATCAGCTATGGCTCAACTATGATATCTTAATGCTCTCCTTCTCAGCATGGACGCTCGAGAGAAATCAACTTCTACTGTACTTGAATCATCAAAGCACAAGAGGGTACCAGTGTTCGTTGTAATGCCCATAGACACATTTGGTGCTGATGCGTCTGGCAGTCTAAGGATCAAAAGGTGAGCTTGACTGGAATTTAGTTATGCAATTGAAGTTGTTTTTACTTCCCACTGTGTAATGCACAGTAAGAGATCTTTTCTGCCTTTCGATTGACATGGCTGTGAATTCCCTGATAATGACATTTTGACAGAATGGGTGGTGATGCTCAATTCTCTAGGCAGATTTTACTGTATCATGTTATGAAAGTTTGGGTGGTGATGCTCAATTCTCTGTTTCATTACTTTGCTCTTGTGTTCCTCTTTGGTGGTGAAATGGAGTGACACCCCCTGCTTGACTTTTCTTGGTTTCAGACTCAAGGCATTAACTGTATCTCTGAAAGCACTCAAGCTGGCTGGTGTCCATGGAATTGCGGTAGAGGTTTGGTGGGGAATTGTGGAGCGTTTTGCTCCTCTTGAATATAATTGGCGCCTTTATGAAGATCTTTTCAGACTGATTTCGGAATCAGGGCTGAAGTTGCATGTTGCTTTGTATTTTCATTCAAATGTACATCAGCATAGAAAGTGGGGTGTGAGTCTTCCACTGTGGATTGCAGAGGTACCCTTTCTTTCAACTATGTTTTAAGGTACACTGGTGCCCCAGTTTGATTGCTTTTTCTTTAATATATTTTATATCCTAGCCAGAGAAAAGTGTTTCATTCATAAATATTTTGATTATGTTAACTATCTCCTTGTCTAGGAGTATGTTTTTCATGCAGCATATTGAATGCCTATATAGGATATTTTACATTTTTTCCTTTATGCCCCCAGGGTGATATTGTTCTGCCATTTGCCATATTTTCAGTTGTTTTATTAAGCACTTGCATGCTGGACATGACCGAAAGCAATACAATTCCTGGACTTATACCTTCTCATTTTCATAGATTGGTAAAAGCAACAAGGATATATATTACCAAGACAAAAGTGGTCTGTCCAATGCTGATTATCTCACACTAGGAGTGGACAGACTACCTCTATTTAATGGACGGACTGCTCTCCAATGTTACGAGGACTTCATCGTCAATTTCGCTAACAAATTCGAACCTTATATTGGGAGTATAATTGAAGAAATAAGTGTTGGTCTTGGTCCCTCTGGGGAGCTCAGGTACTTCAAAGCTGCTAATGAATGACGAACAGTGATGCATTTCTAGAACATTTACTCATGAAGAAGTACATGCAGGTATCCAGCACATCCTCTGGGTGACGGAAGATGGCAATTTCCTGGAATCGGTGAATTTCAATGTTATGACAAATATATGTAAGTTAAGTCTTGAACTTGTCCTGTTCATTAGAAATCCAATGTTTACATGTCTGCTTACCTTTCAGGATGGAGGACTTGAGGATCGCTGCATGTCAGGTGGGAAAGCCTGAATGGGGAGATAGGGGACCTCAGAATGCTGGTTGTTACAATAGTCTTCCACCAGGGGTACCTTTTTTTGAAGATGGACAAGAGAGCTTTATATCGGATTATGGGCGCTTCTTCCTTGTACGTGTTCTTGAAATTACTTGGTTAAGGTTTAAATTCTGATAGAGGGTTTTGCCCCTATATTCATGTAAACATCTGGATCATTCTGTGTCATGGTTCAAGATTTACGTGCTTGGGGATGCAGTTGTTTTTCAATAACTGGTTCTTTCATTAGCATCTGGCCAAATGGCTGTCCAGAATCCTGTTTTACAATAATTTGGATGTAGCATAGGTTACATAAGTCATACCCAAGCAAGTTCAAAAACTGTAAATGAAACAGCTGCATGTTCCATGAGATAGAGAAGAGGTACTTGTTTCACAACAGATGTGATAGAACAATTCGTTATCATCAATCAGTAAGCTTGTAGAAATCGTGACTCGTGACTTATAGCTGACGTTTCTGAGTTAGGTACATTGAATCTAATGTGCAATTTATAGTGCCACATGAATAATGTAATTAAAGTTTATTTGGATTTAGTCTCTGTTAACTACTCTTAGGACCATATAGGATGGCGAGAATCTCATTCACGTATTGCTCTTTGTAGGAATGGTACAGTGGCAAGCTAATCTGTCATGCAGATGCTATTCTGGCTAAGGCAGCTAATGCATTGAAGAAGTACCAGCAAACTGTAGAAACCTCGGTTCTGTTGGTGGCTAAAATTGGTGGAATATACTGGTGGTACCAGACTATCTCACATCCGGCTGAACTTACAGCTGGTTACTACAACACTGCTCTCAGGGATGGTTATGATCCCCTTGCATCAATGCTGTCCCGTCATGGTGCTGCTTTGCATATTCCGTAAGACTCTGATACTTGCCTTCTGCTTATATTACTTTTCCACTGGAATTTACGCTGTCAAGTATATCACCATTGAAGTATCAATTCCACATAGCTCTGTTTATACAGTTTTTGATGTACCCTCTTCATCATATGACTTGCTTTGCACATGCTCATTCGTCTTGTAATTCACTAGCAGCTGTCTAGAGATGATGGACAACGAGACCCCACCATCTTATCTTTGCAGCCCTGAAGGCTTACTCCAACAGGTTTTGGCATCTTTTCTTAACGGGCATATCTAATTTTCTGTGGATTGAGTTTAGCGTTTTAGGTAGCCAGTTTCTTGACCCCTAGTTGCTTATCAGAGTTCATGTGGTCATATTGTTTCAGCAGCTGCCACATTATTTTGCCTTCTCCTGAGTTGATTTTTCACTGATACAGATATGCAAAATTTCAAACAAAAGAATACATTTGATTGGAAGAAATGCTAATGAACGGTTGGATAAGGTAAAGGAAGTTTGGTTTAGTAGCATTACCCGTTCATGTTCACCTCTATGATTTCTGATCCAGAGAGGAGTCACTGGGTCACTTCTTGTTTTCCTTTTTCCTGATTGCTCTTTTCTTTTACATTTTTCTTGATACAATGAATATGCATGCCATTTTCTCGCAGACGGGATTAAGGCAAATACTGGCGAACTGTAATCACCCGCAGGCAGAAGCTGTAAGGTCATTTACTTATTTCAGAATGAACGAAAAGATCTTCTCAGTAGAAAACTGGAATAATTTTGTCCCCTTTGTTAGAAAGATGAGTTCAGATTATTGAACTCCTCGAGTACATTCTAACCATTAATTGTACTCTACTGTAAAAAGAAGGAAAAATACTGCATCTCCTCCCATCTAATTTTTTATATGAGAGCGGGGGAGGTTGTAAATGACGAATTCAGAGTCATTGCAGATGACATCCCTGTGCCCAGCCTCAGTGAATGACATGATCTCTGTTTTCTGATGAACTTCTTAACGAATGATAGTATCATCACAGGCCACCGCCTTCTTCATACGCTCGCATCTGGAGCTTACCTAACTAATGTCATGTTTGTCAGTCAAGTGTTAGGATCTAGCAGACTTGAATATTGACCTAGAACGAACAACTCTGCAAATGACTCATGACAAAGAGGTAGTAGCAATGCTGCTTTGCCTTCCTTTTCCAATTGTCTGTCAGGTATCCACACCGGCCGAGGGAATATTGAAGCTGGTCTTGCCACCATTCTTTTCTTGTTGCCTTTTACATAAGCTTTGCTGCAATGTTTAGAGGCAGATGGACTGAGGAATGCATAATTTTCGACCATCATATCTCCGACCGGTCATCTCTTGATGAAGAGGTTGGTTTGATGTTTGTTGATATTTCAACTAGGAGTGGAAGTGGAAGTAGTCATTGGTAAAAGATGAGTTACTATGTCACATTGGTTAGGACCGTAGCCAGGTTCATATCGATCTGGCTACGGTTCTATTGCTTGATGCTTTAGAATGTCCTAACTTTATTCACGGTTATCATTTTTCGCTATTGTTGAATGCGATAATTTTGTAAATATTCTCGAGAGCGGAACCACTAGTGAGAGGGATTTTCATTTTAGCCAACAAGGGTAGATAGGCCTTAGATGGTGAATTTAGTGAAACCACCACAAACCTGTTGTAACTAGTTTAAGGGGGAAGAAAATAACCATACGACGACGTTTGGACACGTCCCCGTTACCGTTGTTGCGTGCTGGACCGGGGAACACGTCTCCGATGGAAATATCCTCCTTTCCTGATTCCTCTCTATCGCCTGAAGAAAAAATCACCATTTCCTTTGCTTTCGGTGGAAACGGTGAAAGGAAAACAAATCTCACCGAGACCATCCACAGCCATGTCAGCACTCCGCCTCTCTCCGTCGATACCTCCGGTTTCCCTCTCCGCCAAACATCCCCTCCTCCATTTCTCTCTCCGAGCAACGCCGCTCGTCTCCCGACGGTTCCGGAACCTGAACACCGCCTCCACCACGCGGCTGACCGTCACCGCCAAATCCAACGGGAGCAGCGACTCCGCCGACGCCGGGGACAGGATAATCTCCGCCCTCGTCTACTTCTACCCGTTCTTCGACGGGATCCAGTACGGGAAGTTTGTAATCACCCAGTTCGCACCCATCCAAACCTTCATCCAGCCGCTGGTACCAGCGATTAAGGTCTTCAAGGGCTTCCCGCTCAACGGCTTCCTGGTGTTCCTCACCCTCTACTTCGTCGTGGTCAGGAATTCCAACTTCAGTAGGTACGTGAGGTTCAACACGATGCAGGCGATTGTGCTGGATGTGCTCTTGATTTTCCCTGATTTGTTGGAGAGGACTTTCAATCCCAGGGAAGGGTTGGGGTTGGATTTGGTGATGAGCCTGGATAGCACTGTGTTCTTGTTCCTTTTGGTTAGCTTGATTTATGGGTCCAGTTCGTGTTTCCTGGGGCAGCTCCCCAGATTGCCCATTGTTGCCGATGCTGCCGACAGGCAAGTCCTTTGACAGCACAGCAATCGTAAAATAAAAAGGGGGAAGTCCAATCTGGGTTCTTTTGGGTTAGTTTGTTGATGCTTGTAGTGATGATTAGGAAGGGAATGCGATCTCGTAACCTTGTTATGTGAGCTCGAATTCGATCCAATTTGTTCTTGGAAGCTATCAATGATATATAAGTTCTTGTTGTATGTATATTCATTCACGGTGGAACGTGGGAATATCAGTTCAATACTGCAATGCATGGTCTCTGTCATAGAGAAGCTGCTCTCACTTGTCTACCGTGCTTTATGGTTCAATCTGGTTGCGAGTTTGAGTTGAATGGATGGACATGAAGTTGGTGCAGGGAAGGAAACGGCTATTTATTATGCTTTTGACATGCTGTTGCTTGTTTCCCATGTACACCATAGATGTGAAATTATGTTGCTTTGTTGTGCTGCTATGTGCTGTCTGTAGCATTGGAAGACTGGTGACATGTGAATCCCAATGTTCAATTTCTCACTAGCGCAACTGCGCAAGCACATGGGAACATTTTGGAAACCTCACTTGTTAGCTGGAAAACTTAGCTCACAGGCCACAGTCTCAAACACAGTGTGGCATTAAAGCAGTCAAAACTCAAAAGGCTGGGGTATTCGGGTTAGAAAAGTTAGTAAGTACAGATAGGCTGTTAAGTTAACAACCTTTCGGACATTATGGTAGTTAATGATGGAATACAGCCATACTGGGAAAGGTGGAAGTGTTGAAAAGTATTTGCTATTATTATCCCTTTTGTATTCATCACTTAGGGAACACACGTATCAGGTATTTGGAAAAATAAGCTAGCATCAAAACTTAAGTCGGGTAGTTTAGGTGTATAACTTCAGTATGACATTGCTATTGATGAGGTCACGAGGGGAGTATATAATCGTTCTTATGTGATGCATTCTATATGAAATTTGGGAATTGTGTAGCAAATCGAGTCCATTCGTGATTGTGACCAATACAAAAGGTGTATTGGGGGACCTCATTCAAGAGGTGTCTTCGATCTCAAATGCAACTAGATCACGGTGCTAGTGAGGTCGAATATGTTCTTGTTATGTCTCACCATCGCCATCAATGATGTCGAAAGCATGTAACACATGGCAAAGAACTAATTGATTTGTCAATTTATCAACTTCAGTGTTGAACACAAAAATCCTATTGCATTGGGGATTCATACTTAAGAGTTCCAAACCAACTCACAAGCAAACATATATGTTTTAATACTATATTCATTGCAACAAGAGTCTATAAATCAGGAGTCGGTTTCGGGGATATTGTTACATCTCATGTTGACAACTTCTACATGTTCTAATTTCGTGTCTCTAAAGGCCTTGAGTTTGACAACTTCAAATGCCATGAGGCCCTGGTACAAGGGTCTCAAATGCATCAACTTGGGCTTTCTTAAGACCTTCGTTGATACTTGTTTGTGTTGCAATGATGAGACTCATCTCTCATGGCAATTGGCTCTAAGGTCAGCATGATGGCATGTGAAAACCTCAAATGCCAGACTTCTAGTAGTAACTAGTAAGTGCATCTTGGGCAGATCTGGCCTATCCCAATGATGAAGCCGATATGGTTCTCTATGATAAGGGTGTTCCAGCGTAACCGCAATCCATTGTCCATACTTCACATATGTCAAAAGGATTATTAGAGAAGACATGATTTGGTTATCGATAAAAGTACTAACACGAACGCGGATTCACCTTTGTCGTAAAAGAAAACCAACATTAGAGATTCAGTGGATGATTTGTGCTGCTAGCTAGTAGCCTAGTAGGCTTATTTGTTGTTCTTGTGGTTATAAATGGTACTTGCAAACAATAAGAAAAAATAATAGGTGAGGATCATATAACTTGAGATAAAGAAAAAGTTCTTTGAAGCACACATTTGACGCCAATATGGGAAGAAGAAGGTTAAGCTTGCGGCTGGCTGCCTCGGCAGCTTTGTAACAAGAAAATAAAGTTAATGGCAGTCAGAAGAATACCTTAATTTTTGCCCAAGCCAAGCCAATCTGTTTTGCCCCTTTTCCCCACCCACATGACTTGTCTCCTGCTCTTCTTAGCTTCTGGCTACTTTGCTTGGCATACTACACTTCCATGTTCTTCATCTCATTCCTCAAATATAATTGTGTCTTTGAGTTTGAAGCTAAAAGTTAATTTGCAGGAATAGTCTCTGAGAAGTGAGAATGCACCTATTCCGTTTATATTGTTTCTTCTTATTCTATTCATTTATTTATTGATTGAGTGGTTAGTGGGTTTTGTGGGAGGTTAGTGTGAACTACACACTTTGCAAGTTTGTGTATTGCGGTTTCAAAATCGAGTTATTGAAAGATAATTAATTAATATATTATTATTTTATTATTGTGTAAATAAGTAATCTTTCACAAGACAATTATAATTTTCACAATATAAGTGTGTTGCCGTCAAAATTCAGTTTCTTATGTTCTTTTATTGTTTCCTTCTCCAAAATAACAAACACATAAATTTGAAAGTCGTTGCCTTTCGTGTTTTCATTGAATGTGTCTTTACTCTTTAGTAGTGGTTTGTCCTAATTCTACCAACATTTGTAGTAAAGGAAATGATAGTCCTAAGAAGAGTGATTAAACCTAGCGGTCATTTTTTTTTTTTTTTTTGAAATGACCTAGCGGTCAATTTTGGTTATCTTCTTGACACACTTTTCTCTTTTCAAAGATGATTACATAAATCTTATCAGATGCCCAGTTACATTTAGAATTGTCATCTCGTTATAGTCTATTTAAAAAAAATTAATGAAAAAAATCAATACTTCAAGTGTCTTTATTTAAAATAGTAAAATACACACTTGAATGAATCAACCTACCCTGACTCGTTCCTCAAAACAAAATGCCCGACATAAACCTAACCCAAAACAAAACATGTATAAGGGGTTAATTGTATGGTTAGTCACCGAGATTACAAAAGACGTTCATGTTTGGTCACTCGAAATATTTAATTCCATTCGTGATCCCTAATATTAGTTAAACATTTCAACTTTAGTCACTCTCAGTTACCTTCCGTTAGTCTCCGTTAACGGCGTCAATTTTTTTTTGCTGACGTGACTAACATAATTGCTGAGTCATCCAACTTTTACCAAAAAAAAATAATAATTCATCGCGTCACATAAGCACATTACATGACCCAATCTTCTTAATCAAACCCATGAACTGAACCGAACAGTTAAAAAAAATACTCATTAAAAATAAAATTATTGTAAAAGTCATCTCTTCTTCTTCCTTCCTTCCTTTAAAAACCTCTCTGTATTTATCTCCAACCCAAAACATCCAATCTCCACAACTCCTTCAAAAATGGCGTCTTGTTTGTTCCTCTTCTCTGCCGCCCTCCTCTTCCTCACACTCTCCATTGTCCCTTTTTTTTTTTTTTTGTCATAGAAACCCTTGCGGATTAACTAGATAAGCACGAGATAGCCACAAAACAACGGCTTCTTCGTGAGAAGATAGTCAAAGGAGAAATGAACAGTTAAAACAAACACTACTAGAGCCAGAGTAGCATAAGGCATTACGTGCCACAACATGGGCAGCCCTATTCGCTTCTCTAGGAGTAAAAACAACAGAAACCAGCGGCATTTCTTGTAACATTAAGATGACTTCTCGTAAGATAGCTCCCGCAAGAACATCGTTGGCATCAGAAACCGTCAAATGGTGAACAACAGCAAGAGCATCACTTGTGATCACTACCGGTCGATCCTGCCACTGCCATTGTCGAAGTAATAAAAGCGCTTCTCGAATTGCCAACACCTCCATAATCTTGGGATGAAAAAGACCTGGGAAGAAACCACCCCTTGCAAAAACTGGCACAAGATGATCATAGCCAACCATACCGATGGCGCCATGAGTCGGAGCCCTGGTAGCCCCATCAACAGCAATGCGAAAACTAGATTGAAGCAACGGACGAGAATGGGACTGGGTTCTGGGCGGTAACGGAGGCGACTGACAGGGAAGGACGGCAAGTTGATGAGAGGCATGATGTGAGAGGAGCTGACGGTACAAGGCAGCAGTGGTAAATTGCGCATAGGGTGAGAAGACAACATTGTTCCGCCCTTTCCAAAGTCGCCAAAAAAAGAGAACCCAATTGATTATGGTAGAATGATCGGAATTGAGAATAATGTGCCTTAAAAAGATGGATAAATGCGTGTTTGGAAAAATTCCCGCAGGCAGCTGTAAGCTACACCGATGGCGGAGGGCTAGTGCCGAGCAAGATCCTCTCTAACCGGTAGGATTCTTAAAAAAATCCTCCATAGGAAATTTTTTAATTTGGGCGCCAGAGGAAGACCCCAAAGTCAAGGCCATAAATTAGGATCAAGAGGAGAAGCCTGGTCCACTGAACCATGAGACTGGGGAACTGGATACAAGGTAGTCGCTAACCGATAAGCTGACTTTACCGTAAATAAGCCATGAGGATCAAAATGCCAAATCAACTTATCCGGGCACATGAGTCGTGGCAAAGGTATGCGAATGATACATGCAATGGAGTCCTGCGTGAAGAACTCTCCAAGACGGTGAAGGTCCCAAGAGCGATGAATGGGAGAAATGAAATAAGAGAGGAAACGAGGTGACCGATCTGCAGTGGGCAGGACCATTGGACGAAAACTTGGGAAAGAAGGAACCCAAGGATCCGTCAAAGCATCAATGGAAGAACCGTCTCCTACCTCCCAACGCAAACCACGATGTAACAATGCCCGGCCATGAAGAAGTGATTGCCATGCCCAAGAGGAGTTAGAACCCACACCAGCATTCAAGAAACTCGTATGATGAAAGTATCTTCCTTTTAAGACCCGTGCAACTAGGGAAGTGGGATCCAACAAAATGCGCCAACATTGCTTGGCAAGCAGCGCTTGATTAAAAGCCTCAAAATCCCGGAATCCCAAACCACCATCCCCTTTTGGTTTACAAAGATGCCTCCAAGAGACCCAAGGCAGACGCCGCTCCGACCCTTGTTGACCCCACCAAAACCGAGCAA